TATATATATATATATATATATATATATGTGTGTGTGTGTGTGTATAATATTTATTTTGTTTTATATATATATATTTTTTTTAATTACATTTTTTTTTTCTTTACAACTTTTTACTAGTTTAGCATGAAGTCTGGTCTGCTTTACATCTTATTCTAAAAAAAAATTCAGAAAATTGCATTAGATTTTTTCTGTAATTTCACAATTTCACAAAAAAAATATTTTTGAATTAAACAGTCTGTGGCATCTGACATTGTAAACTACACATTGTTAAACAAAAAGATATCAGTTTTAACAACTTAATTAACATGAAATTCTTTTGAGAAATGTTCACAATTCTTATGAATTTACTATTTGTTAATCACTGGAGTGATTGGTTCATTTTCATGTTGTCATATTCTTGTTTATATGGTATTGTTCTATTTGATATCTCTATATTTCCTATGCAAGTTTTACTTATGAAACAGTACACTGAAAATGTGGAGCAGAAGCAACAGAGCAATAAACAGTCGCTCATCTACTCAGGCATCAAAAACATCGTCAAGTCCAGCTCTGGTAAGTGCAAACAGCACAATATCTGTTCTGATCACATTTTCTGTGAACATGATGATTGTTGTACAGATGAGCAAAAGTATTTGCTCTGTACAGTAGAAGTATTTCTCATAGATATCTGCTAAATGCCTCAGTCAGCCTCAAGGTATCTGTCACTGGAGGCCCTCTAAACAAATGTCTCTCTCTCAGGCACTACAGAGACACGGCGCTGCTGGTCGGGTTCAGACAGGCAGACCGATGTACCGCGGTACCACAGCGAGGAGCGCAGTCTGGCTCTGCAGCTGTGTGGTTGGATCAGTCGAGGGCCTGACATCGATGTGGAGCCCTTCCTGAAGTCTCTGGAGCAGGAGGGCGAGTGGGAGAGAGCCGCTGCTGTCGCTCTCTTTAACCTGGACATCCGACGGGCCATTCAGATTCTTAACAAAGGAGCTTCAGCAGAGAAAGGTACAGGACTGGACTGGAGGAACATTGTCCAGCCAGTGACACTGACTATAAAACTCACAAAACATGTCAAGAACTGGTCAAAGGAATTATATTTTGCAGCAAAAATGAAGCGTATTTTAAAGATTTTTTTGCTCAGTGGCATTATTTTTATGCCAATTAACCACACTTTCCTCCACAGTTCCTGTACTACAAAAAATAAAAATAAAAACATGCAATGCAATAAAAATCAAATATATTTATATAACATCTGACATGAATGACATAGTGTTTATTTATTTTTATTTATTAGTTTTAGTTAATTTAATTGTAGTTATTTTAGTAATTTAACTTAAACTAAATGAAAATGAAAAAAGAAATGCTGTAATAGTAATTAAATATATATATTATATATATATATATATATTTATATAATTTTTCTGCATTTTGTATTGTTTTAGTTTTAATTAATGATGATAACCCTGATATAAAATATTAATTTCTATTTTTCTTGCCTCTTAATTTGGGTAAAAATGTTTCCTGGACATGTGAGTGCCATGTCCAAAACAGTTTTTAACTGATGCCAAACCTTTTTTTTTTAATGATATGATGACCAGTATTATAAATGTGTGCTACTGTTTTTACTTCTTCAGTGTTGACACTAAAACTCCATTCTGTACATGTATCAAAATATAACACAGATGCATAACTAGATACATAATAAACAAACACAGTATGAATTGATGAAAATAAGCCCTGATATGTGTAAAAAAAAAAATGCCTCTATTGGCTGATAACGATATAGAATTTGTCTCTATTAGGGAGTTATTTATTTAAATTGGAGATGACTTGAACAGTTTAGAATAGCTTGTTCATATAGAGAGATAGATGTTCATGTTCCTCTAGGGGATTTACAGGAAGTCCTGTCCTCGGATGAATGTTAGAAGCACTGTGTGAAATCCAGGCTAGAAAGAAACACTGAACGCCATCAGCTGCCTGTTTGCAATCCAAGGTGATCCTTATATACTGACAAAATGACAAAAGCATGGCTTACATTACACAATGATAGCTGTTTAATATTAAATGCCCTAAAGCCGTAGATGCATACGGCATATGGAGCTGTTTGATTATCGTTCATAATTGCCCGTTGTTTGGGTTTTAAGCATAATTTGTTTTGGCTTTGGGAAACAGATCTAATCTTTTATAATCTTTATAAAGGGTGTGTTTTTTTACACCTACTGCCATAAGGTTTTTGTCTCTGCATTGTGTTTTGTTTGCACTCATCCAAACGGCATATATTGTTCTTTCTTCCTTTGAACACAAAAAGAGTATCATTGATATACAATCTATATATCAATATTAATATCTATCTATCTAGCTATCTATCTATCTATGGTTCATTGTCTGTCTGTCTGTCTATATAACCTTTTTGAATTATATTTTATTTGTATATTATTTTCAGTTAAATTCAGTTAATGTTTATTTTATTTTAAGTACCAGAAATGTTTTTTTCTTGGTTTTAGTTTTAGTTAACTATAACAACCTTGATCTTGAAAATGTGCAAATGCATCTAGTTTTCTGTTTCCTTTATTTTGTGACCAGGTGATCTGAACCTGAACGTGGTGGCCATGGCTCTGTCAGGCTACACTGATGAGAAAAACTCCCTGTGGAGAGAGATGTGCAGCTCTCTCAGACTCCAGCTGAAGAAGCCGTACCTGTGTATCATGTTTGCCTTCCTCACCAGTGAACCTGGCGCCTATGATGCCGTCTTGGTATGTTAATAAAAAAACTAATCAGAGTATTGTGCTTAAAAGAATATTCAGTATTGCACCGAATTTAAAATGTGCAATTGTAGTTGCTGTATATTGAAGTTAATTATTTTAATAAAAGTGTGTTTTGTGTTTTCTAGTATGAGAGTCGTGTGGCTGTCAGGGACAGGGTGGCATTTGCATGTATGTTTCTAAATGACGCTCAGGTAAGACCCGCTCACCCCTGAGTTTATCCAAGTCTCATTGTGCACTATATAATACACTGTCATTTTTCCTCCCTTAAGTTGCCTCGTTACATAGACAAGCTGACCAATGAGATGAAGGAGGCTGGTAATCTGGAGGGCATCCTGCTGACAGGACTGACGAAAGACGGAGTGGATCTCATGGAGAGTTATGTAGACCGAACCGGAGACGTGCAGACGGCCAGTTTCTGCATGCTCAAAGTAAGTGACACATGATAAAGTTTAAAAAAAGAGAATGATATGACAGTAATATTGTGAAATATTATTACAATTTAAAATAACCGTTTTGTATGTGAATATATTTTAAAATGTAATTTATTCCTGTGATGCAAAGCTGAATTTTCAGCATCATTACTTGATTGAGATTTAGTGCATCCGTAGCTTGGATATTTAGTTAATATATCATGAATTAATATAATTTTTGATAACATACCTAATCTTACATTTTATGTTGGCTATTTCTGATATATATATATAATTTTACTATGATTCAAAATAATTCTAGATTGGAAAAGGTGAGGGTTTTTTTATTAAAAATTTTAGTGATTTATAATATTTATAATATTGTTTATATTTATCGGTGCATCCCTAGCTTTGATATTTAGTTAATATGTATCATGAATTTATATAATTCTTTGTACCATACTTATACTTACATTTTGTTTTTATGTTGGCTGATTTCTTCTATTATTTTTTTTATTTACATATGTTCTGTGCAGGTGTTTGTGAGCTGTAACTTCTGTGGAAAGTCTATATCATACAGCTGCTCAGCGATGCCTCATCAGGGCCGTGGATTCAGTCAGTACGGAGTCAGCGGTTCACCCACCAAGTCAAAGGTCACCAGTTGCCCTGGCTGTCGTAAACCACTTCCACGCTGTGCCCTCTGCTTAATGAACATGGGCACTCCTGTGTCCAGCTGCCCAGGTAACAGACGGATCATTTAAAGTTCTTCTTCAATTATGATACCATTATGTAAACATGTTCAGTTCACTCATCTCGTCCATCTTATCAGGCGAATATATTTTAAAATGTAATTTATTCCTGTGATGCAAAGCTGAATTTTCAGCATCATTACTTTAGTCTTCAGTGTCACATGATCCTTCAGAAATCATTCTAACATGCTGATTTGCTGCTCACAAAACATTTCTTATTATTACCAATGTTGAAAAGCATTCATATTTTTGTGAAAACCATAGGATTCTTTTTTCAGGATTCTTTGATAAATAGAAAGTTCAAAGTTTAAACATTTATTTGAAATCTTTTGTAACATTATAATTGTCTTTACTGTTGCCTTTGATCAATTTAATGCATGCTTGCTGAATAAAAGTATTAATTGCTGTCAGAGACATCTTAACCTAAAGTTTTGAATGGTAGTGTATATTACAAAAGCAATAAAAAGTTAAATGCAAACAAATTAAGATCTTTTTAAGATTGATGGATAGGACAAATCTAATTGTTGTACGTTTACATTTATGCTTTTAGCAGATGCTTTTATCCAAAGAGAAAAAAGGAGCAAACGCAATTTGTCAATAAGCCAACATATATATGTAATATACAATGGTAGGTTTGTTAGACAACTAGACTAGAAAGCAAGCTAGAGAAGAGAAATGCTAAGAAGAAAAAGAAGTGTGACTGTGTGTTGTTAAACCAGGAAAAGTGATGTGGATTGAGGTCTACCTCACAATTTCCAGATGAGTGTGTTAAATGTTGATTTATGTGGTGTTTGTGGTGGCAGGGCTCCCCAGGAGAGGTGCTGAAGGACCCTCGGGTGCAGTGCTGGATCGAGAACTATCGCAACCTGTTGGACGCATGGAGGTTTTGGCATAAACGGGCTGAATTTGACATTCATAGGAGCAAATTGGATCCCAGCTCAAAACCACTTGCACAGGCTAGAATCAAGTTGTTTTTATTTCTGGCAGTTGTTAAGTCGTGATTATGCATGCGTGATATAATCACTGACAAATTTGTATCGGTCCGTATTATTGATTTTTATTTATTGTTCTGATTGGGCAATGTTGTGGGTATATATAATATATATAAAATATATATATAATAAAATATATATGTATACCCGCCCGCAGCAGCACTCGCCCACCTTGTCCCGCGCCGCGCTCTGTTGCGTCGGGTCTCGCGGGAGCAGGTCTCTAATCCACTTGCCTCATCAGGGCCGTGGATTCAGTCAGTACGGGGTCAGCGGTTCACCCACCAAGTCAAAGGTCACCAGTTGCCCTGGCTGTCGTAAACCACTTCCACGCTGTGCCCTCTGCTTAATGAACATGGGCACTCCTGTGTCCAGCTGCCCAGGTAACAGACGGATCATTTAAAGTTCTTCTTGATATATGATACCATAATGTAAACATATTCCGTTCACTGTGAGACTCATCTCGTCCATCTTATCAGGCACAGGAAAAGCAGATGAGAAAGCCGATCTCACACGAGACAAAAAACTCGCACAGTTCAATAACTGGTTCACCTGGTGCCACAACTGCCGGCACGGTGGTCACGCGGGTCACATGCTCAGCTGGTTTAGGTAGGAGTAATATTCACCCATATTGTGCCATTTATTTGATGACCTTATAAATCCAAATACACTACTGTTCAAAAGTTTTTTTTTTTTTTTTTTAAAGTTAATACTTTTATTTAAAATGGATGAATTCAATTGATCAAAAGTGACAGTAAAGACATTTATAATGTTACAAAAGATTTCTATTTCAAATAAATTATTTTTAACCTTCTATTTATCAAAGCATGCTGAAAAAAAGGTATCGCAATTTCCACAAAAATATTACGCAAAATATTCGTTTCTTGAGCAGCAAATCAGCATATTAAAATGATTTCTGAAGGATCATGTGATACTGAAGACTGGAGTAATGATGCTGAAAATTCAGCTTTGCATGACAAGAATAAATTACATTTTAAAATAAATTTGAATAGAAAACAGTTATTTTAAATTGTAATAATATTTCACAATATTACTGTTTTTACTGTATTTTTGACCAAATAAATGCAGCCTTGATGAACATAAACAATGTCTTTCAAAAGCTTTCCAACCCCAATCTTTTGAACTGTAGTTTATAGTATTAACTATAACATTTTAAGTGCAATTATATTGTCTTTTCTTTCAGAGATCACAGTGAGTGCCCAGTTTCGGCCTGCACCTGTAAATGCATGCAGCTGGACACCACAGGCAACCTGGTGCCTTCTGATAGTGTATAAAGGCCTTTCTGACTTAAATCTCCCACATTACTAGAGTAGTCAACATGTGAAGTGGATCATAACCTTTCATCAAAGTTGTCCTAAAACCTAAAACCAAATTCGTTCTCGTCTTAGGACAACTTTGATTCACTTTTTTGATCCACTTCAAATGTTGACTACTGTAGAAACCAGCTACCAACATTAGTACTGTAAGTGATAATGGCAAAGTTCTCATAGTTTCAGAAGTTAAAGATGAGCATATGTGTCTTTTCTGAAGTGATCTGCACACCTCACTGGTATTGAAGTTGATGACAGGTGCTCTATTGTCACAGGAACTAAAGCAGTTAAATTGTTAGGATTATGTTACCCATGATTAACTCACTCACCCACCCACGGGCAGTTGTGTTTTCTCAGACATCTGACCTTCTCGAGAGACAAGCTATGTGAATGTCTGACCTATGCATTTGTGGTCCAGTAGCAGGAGTTTCTAGGAATAAAACTATTTCAGTACCAACTTTAGAGACAGGGAAAGAGATACCACAACAGTTTAACCTGAGGAGTTTGAATGCATGTAAGGAATATTTTGTTTATATCTTAGAAAGTGCTTTCACACGGTCCATAACTACTTCCACTACTTGCCTTTGAGTTTAGCGATTTATATTGTTTTATTATTCTGTATTTATTGCATATTACTCCATACCACGCTGAACCTCAGTCAGCTGTTGAAAATTAGATTTGTCAGAGATCTACAATACAGGTCAAATGATCTACACTTGAAAGTAGTAAAGTGTCTATTCAGTTTGTTTTAAAAATAGCTTTTAACAAATAACACAAAGTGATTTTTGTTGTTTAAGATGTGTAGGTTTAACATTAGTTCTGGCTAAGTGTTGCATTGTTTGGATCCAAAGGTAATGCTGTTTTGTAATGCTTACCTTAATTTATTGCACAATCAATGCAACAATTTAACAATCTAACTATTTAAATGATTGTGTCTTTATTTTTTGAAAAGCAAAAATAACTTACATCAATGACTAATGTTATTAAAACATTTTTTGAAGGAGTTTTGAATGCAGTATTTTTTTTTCTTTATGCAACTAAATAATGAGATGTTTTGTTTGCTTCAATTAGATCAATACAGATTTTCAGTTTAATGAACTATGACAAAGATATGCAGTAGCAGAAATGAAGATTTAAAGGGGTCATATGATGTTGCTAAAAAGAACGTTATTTTGTGTATTTGGTGTAATGAAATGTGTTTATGCGGTTTAAGGTTCCAAAAACACATTATTTTCCACATACTGTACATTATTGTTTCTCCTCTATGCCCCTCCTTTCTGAAACGCGTCGATTTTTACAAAACTCATCGGTCTGAAAAGC